GTCGAGGCGTTGACCTAAGGAACCCTAAATAAGGAACGAGGCCCCGTTTTCCCATAAGTTCAACCTCGATTTCCTATGGGAAACCAAGGAAAGCCCGAGGCAAACTTTGAGACAATCAAGGAACACCGAGCCCCTCCCCAACGAAGAGGGCTCCTTCTTCAAGACCCCTACTGTACTATTGTCAGTCGCAGAGTTCGTCCTTGATCGCAGCGGGACGTAAAAGCTGCCCCCGAAGGAGAAGGGGTCGGGGCCGCGGGCTCAAAAATCACATCGTCGGGCGCTCGGGCAGGATCGGGCAGCACCGAGTCGGGAAGTCGGATCGGCTCCGAAAGTGCATCGGCTCGAGCCGCATCACGGCACGGAGTCTGCATCGAGCCGGGTCGGCCGCACCGAGATGCACGACAGCGCCACGCGAGGCACCAGACCGCATCGGACCGTCGGAACATCGGAGACGAATCGGACCGGGCAGGCCGGCCGTAATCAGTACCCCGAATCCTTTGGGAGGGGACCTGGCCCAGGAGGGCCGAGAACACTGGGGACAAGGGGGTCTGTTCTGCAGATGCCTCACACGAAACCACCCACATGTCTAGGGAGCCCTCGAGACCGAGAACCTGAGTCAGGCCACGAAGACAGGGCGTGACTAGGAACAGGGTGTTGTGGATCATGCTCAATGAATCTGCATCGGCTCGGATCCATCGGATCGACACGGACCCTGCTGGGTGCGATAGCCTCGTCGTCGACGGGGCAGGCAGCGAGGTTCAGCGACGTGAGCGGGCAGCTGCCGCAGACGTGCAGGACGTCGGCGGGCTGCGAGTCGCACCCGTCCAGGCTGAGGGTCGCGAGCCGGCCCAGGCGGGAGAGCGCCCGGAAGTCCTCGAAGGGGGGGGGAAACGACGACGACGACGTCGACGACGACGACGGCGACGACGTCGACGACGACGACGGCGACGACGACGACGACGGCACCGCCGTCGTCATCGTCGTCGTATTCGTCGTCCCACTCCTCCTCCTCCTCCTCCTCCTCATCCTCCTCCTCCTCCTCCTCCTCCTGCTCCTGCCCCTCCTTCTCCTCCCCCTGCCCTCCTCCCTCTCTGCTTCTTGACCACTTCCGCTAGAGCCCGCTTCTTGGCCATATCTTGGCGAGGAGCGCCAAAGGTCCCGCAGGCGGCCGCAGCCAGCCAGGTCGAGCGACGCAAGGCAGGGCGGCAGACGGTTCAGGACCATGTCGCTCGCAGCGCAGCGGGGGCCTGGTGGGTCGCACGCATCGCGGCAAGGCTGAAGATGAGGAGCCTAATCTAATAGTAGTAACAATGGCACGAATGATAATACTGATAACAATGATCATACTGATTCTGATGGCAATGATCATAAAAAAAGATAATGAATAAAACAGTAAATAATGCGAATGCAAATGATGATAATGAGAAAACAATGTAAAACTAAATACATACAGTCATACAAAAATAAACGAACTCATACATGAATAAATCAAATGAATCAGAAAACAAAGACATAAATAAATAAAGAAACACATTGATAATTGGTAATGATAAGAATCACAAGCATCATACTAATAACGATGTTGATCCTGAGAATACTAATGATACTAATGATGATGCTGATGATGCTGATGATGATGATGAAGATGCTTATGCTGAGGATGATGATGGTGATGATGGTGATGGTAATGCTGACGATCATGCTAATGATGGTGATGATAATGCTGATGGTGATGGTGATGATGATGATCATGATGATAGGGGTGTTGGTGATGCTGGTCATGATAAGATTGGTAATGGCAATGATTGTCATGATGATGGTGATGGTGGCTATTGGGATCGATGATGGTGATATTGAGGTAATGGTTATGATGGTGATGGTGGTGGAGATCATGATAATAGTTATCATGGTGGTTATGGTGATGCTGGTGGTGATGGTGATGGTTATGGTGTGATGGTGATGCTGATAGTGATGACGCTGATGATGGTGACGATGCAGATCTGAGATTGATGGCAATGGTGAGGATGATAATGGTGGTAGTGGTGGTGATGAGGATGATGATGATGATGATGGTGATGGTGATGGTGATGGTGATGGTGATGGTGGTGATGATGATAAGATCTGTGATGGTGGTGTAAATGATGACTATGATGATCATGGTGATGGTGATGTTGGTGAACATGGTGATGGTGGTGACGATGATGATGATGATGATGGAGATGGCGATGGTGATGATGATGGTAATGGTGTTGATGATGATGGTGATGCTGGTGATGGTGGTGGTGATGGTGACTGTCATGGTAAAGGTGGTGGTGATGGTGTTGATAACAATCATTATGATGATAGTGACTATGGAGATGCGATGGTGATGCTGGTGACGATGATGACGGTGATGATGAGAATTGTGATGGTGATGGTGATGGTGGTGATGGTGATGGTGATGGTGATGAAAATTAGGGGGTCACATGCAAACCCTACCCCTACCCCCCACGATTTCTGAGGGGAGTGTGGGATTCACTTGCGAGGGGTAGGGGTAGGGTTCGCATGTGGCCCCCTAGACAATGATGATGCTGGCGGTGGTGTTGCTGATGCTGATGACGACGACGACGACGACGACGATGATGATGATGATGATGATGATGGTCATGATGATGATGCTGATGATAATAGTAAGAAAAACGAATTATGATGATGAGGAGGAGGAGGAAGATGATGGTGATGATGATGGTGATGGTGATGGCGATGGTGATGGTGACGGTGATGGTGATGGTGATGGTGATAATGATGGTGATGGTGATGGTGATGGCAGTGACGATTAAGAGAATCCGCCAGCCCCCTCCTGCCTGGGCTGGAAAGAGAAGGCGCGTGAGATGACTGGCTGCCCCCCAGAAGGGAAGGGAAGCGACGAGAAGGGGAGAAGGAAGGGGGGGGAAGCGACGAGAAGGAGGAGGAGGAGGAGGAGGAGGAGGAGGAGGAGGAGGAGGAGGAGGAGGAGGAGGAGGAGGAGGAGGAGGAGGAGGGGGAGCGGGGGAGGCCCCGCTCCCCCTCCCCTGGGGTCCAAGAAGCGCATCGGCCGGCGGAGGCGCCCCCCAGGGGGGCCCGGCGCCAGAGGGGGGGGGGGTCACAGCGCACCCCGGGGGGCTCTCCAGAGCCTCCGATCGAGCCCCAGGGCTGCGAGGCGAGGGTTTTGAAGGGGCCCCAGGACACACAAATAAATACACACAAATAAAAAGATTCCCCATATTTTCCCATATTTTCTGGGTTTCTGTCTTCCCCCCCACTTCCCATATTTTCCCATATTTTCTGAGAATCGAGGATTTATTGTGTCTGTGTGTTTTTTCCTCTCCTGAGGTTTATCCATGTCCGCCGCCTGGGAACCGACGTCCTTGGGCCCCAGCGGTATTGGATGTATTTCGGCCCCCTGGGGCCCGAACATGTCCATAACCACCGCCTGCCGAGGCTCCGAAAACTGACCCTGCAGGCGGTGGTCATGTATGGTCCAGGGCTTGGGCCCCCCCCCCCCCAATGCTGATGCCATTGCCCCCCCTCCCCCCGCGCGATGGTCCCCCCCCCCCGCGATGGTCCCCCGCCCCCGAGGAATCCTGGGACCATACCATCTGGGGGGGGGGGGCCCGTGAACCCTCGACCCTGGATCATGTATAGATTCCCGCCTCGGACAAGGAGCGCCGAGACGATCCGAGAGGGAGCGTCGAGGCGGCCGAGGGCAATTAGCCCCGCCGGCGTTGCAAGATGGCTTCACGGCGGCCGGCCAGGCCCTCGGGACGGCCCAAAGGGGTACTCCCAGGGGGCCGCCGAGAGGGCCGCCGAGAGGAACAGAGCGCCCCACTCCTCCCCAGGAGAGCGCGCAGGTGTCGACAATGAGGCGCTCCAAAGAGGGCCTCGCCGCCGAGGATCGAAGGAACGGCCGTCGCTTCCTCGGCGGAGTGGGCGGCGGCGGGGCGGCGGGAGAAAGAAACGAGGCCGCCTCCGCCGCCGGAGGCCGGCAGAAGCTCGGCGGCAGGCGGCGGAAGGAAGAGGTGCGCCCCTGTAGGGGGCGCCACATGCGAACCCTACCCCTGCCCTCCACGACCTCTGAGGGGGGAGGGGGGGGGTCGTTTCGCTCGGGAGCTCCCGAGCGAAGTGAGCCCCGCCCTCCCCCTCAGAAGTCGTGGGCGGTAGGGGCAGGGTTCGCATGTGGCCCCCTACCCTGAGAGATGAAGACGTCTTTGGGTGCAGGGCTTCCAAGTCGGGGGCTGCTAGAAGTGCCCCTGGCCCAAGGGGGCCCCAGATTTTGTCGCTCCGTTGTGGAGTCCCTGGGGCCCTCTGGCCCCCGTGATGGGGTGCCCTGGAGGCCGTCCGGGCCACCCCGAGTGTCCTGGGGGTACCTCATGGATTTTGTTATTGTGGCTGTGATAACTTGGTTTGCGGGGGGATAACAGTTGAGCTGCGCAAGTGCAATATACAATGTTGTAACTCATGTTATAATTGACCCGAAATGGAGACAGAAATGGACCCGTCTTGGACGCCCGAAATGGGTATGGAAAGAATGGGTAGAATGCCCAACAACAAATGTTGTCCCAAACCAACAGCGGCCGCTGCTGGGCGGGCGGCCTTCTGTCTCGAGTAGACACAGGCCGCGGCGGCGCGGACAGCGAGTCCTGTTCAGAATTAGCAGGAACCGCTGTTGAGCATTGTGCCCACTCTTTCCGTGCCCATTTCGTTCGTGCAGAATCTTGGGCCAGGGGTACTTCTAGCATCGGGTCGGGCGAAAGGGGGGGATAGCAAAGGGGGGGTTTGAGAATCAGCTCACGTAGCTGATTTTCCCGGCGCCTCCCGGCGCCGGGAGCGGCCATGTATCGAGGAATTGGCCCCTCGGTGAGGCCGAAACCAGCTGCGTGCAGCAAATTTCGTCACCCCCCCTTTCCCAATCCCCCCCCTTCGCCCGACCCGATAGCAGCACCTGGCCGAAGTCCGCCACATGGACCCCCTCTTCGCCTGGACGTCGTCCGCCGCGGCCCCCGGAGCCCCCGAGGTCGTCTCGGCACGGCACGCCAGGCTCCTCAAGAGGGCCCCTGGACGGCCGGCCAGAGCCCCAAGGGGGCCCGAGGACGACGCCAGGGGCCGAGGAGGCGGCCCAGGAGGGCCCCGCAGAGGGGCCCAAGGGGGGCAAGACGAACTGACATCGCGGGACTTCCACGCCGCGATGGCCCCAAGAGCCCCCCCCCTGACACCCGGGGAGGCACCCAAGAGGCCCTAAGAGGCTTCCGAGGGGCTTCCAAGAGGCACCCAAGACGCACTCCAGAGGCCCCTGAGAGGCCCCAAAGAGCCAGCCAGATGCGCCCAAGAGCCCTCCCAGAGACCCCTGAGAGGCACTCCAGGAGACCCTCATATGCACCCCCTAGGCTCCTGACCCACAGGACAGGCACGGTGGCACGACTCTTGACGAATTCACTCTTATGGGGGTCGGCGGATGGCGTAAACCTCTTGAATCATAGAATAGTAAAAATGCGGTGAACATAAAAACATCAGCCAGCGTTGACTCCAAATAGATATGAGGAAAGGAGGAGGACGAGAGGAGGATGGGATGAGGACGAAAGGAGGACGGGAGCAGAACGGGAGGAGGACGGGAGGAGCAAAATCAAGCAAGCGCAAGCAAGCAAACGGAAGCAAGCAAACGCAAGCGAGCCATAACAAGCAAGCAAGAGCCAACGATCAAGTGCAAGCAAGCAAGGGCAAGCAAGAGCAAGCAAGCGAGAGGTTGTGCATAGGCATAGGTATAGGCATAGGCATAGGCATAGGCGTAGGCATAGGCATAGGCACAGGCGTAGGTATGTGAGTTAGAGGGAGGCATAGGCATAGGCATAGCCATAGGAATTAGGGGGGGGCATAGGAATTGGGGAGAGAGGGGGGCAACGGACCAATTAGTAAGGTTTGAGCTAGGACTCCTATAGGGCAAGCCGATTTGGAGAATAAGCAAAATAAGAACAGAAGAAACCTACGAATCAGACTAATCATGAGACTCAGATGTTTACTGATACGAATAATTTTAGCCAGACGAATGGGAAATACAATAGAATTACCCGTTGACCTATCTAACCATTTTCTAACACGGGGCAGCTAGATTAAGGACCGCTCAACACAAACGAACATGATGAAAGACGCGCACTTCACAGCCCCCCTGGGAGCCGCGAGGTCTCGGCAGATCCGCGTCGACCTCCACTCCGCTGGACCTCCCACGAGCCCACGAAAGTGGCGACAGTTGCGCGGTTCGCGGTTCGCAGCACCCCAGGGAGCCGCGAGGTCTCGGCAAATCCGCGCGGACCTCCACTCCGTTGGACCTCCCAGGAGCCCACGGAAATGGCGACGGCTGCGCAGCTCCCCTGGGAGCCGCGAGGTCTCGATGAGGGAGAGGACGACTAAACAGGACAGAGAGGGGGCTGAGGAGAGGGGATGAAGGCAAGCTAGGTGCGCTCGCGTCATATCTGACGTTATACCCCTCCCTCCCATCCCTTACCATGGCGTGAATCTCTTCTCTATTCGCACATTCGGATGTCGTAGCATGGCATAGCACCACATGGCATATCATTGTGTTGAAGATCAACGCGTACAATGACATAGCTTGGCGATTCGACGCCCCAAAGTGGGGGGGGGCTTCTGCGGCCCAAAAAATCAACGAATCGGCACCGAATGTGTAATCACTTTCGATGGTTTCTTCGAGAGGTTATTTTCTAGATGTTGGGGCCTATTTGGAAGGACCGAAACCATGCCGTGGCATGGCACTGGATTTTTTTGGTTACGCTGGCCATAGCTGCCAGTTCTTTTACGCACGGCACGCGCGGACGGCCTGCGGCGCGATCTCGGCCCCAGAGCCGCCCGGGGGCCCCCTCGGGCCCTGGAACGGCTCGGGGCTCGCCGTCGCCCTGCAGCTCCCGCTGCTCCCTTCAGCTCTTTGGCAGACGCTTTGGCTCCTGGGTGGAGCGCGTACAGTTGGGGCGGCAAACGACAGCGTCGGGCAACGGAGGCGATAAATCAAAAGCCCCCGCGGGGCAAACGGTCACCGCCGGCGCTCAGCAGCAGCCCTTCTTCTTCCCGGACTTGGTCTTGACCTTCTTGCTCCCGTCCTTGCTCTTCTTCTCCTTCTTGGACTTCTTCTTCGCGCCCACCGCGTCGGCGGCGGCGTCGACCGCCGCCGTGGCCGCCTCCACGACGGGCGCCGCCGCCCCGCCCATGGCCGCGGCGTCCGCGTGGATCTCCTCCTCAGTCACGGGATGCCCGGCCATGAGCTTCTGGAACATCTCCGGCGAGATGTTCATGCGCTGCGGCTCCGCGGGCGCCGCGTACATCATCTCCTGCTGGGGCTCCATGGGCACGCCTGCCGACATCGCTCAGGCGTGGGCGGTCTTTCTGCGGAGAGGCGGGGGGGGAGCGAAAAGGCACCCCAGGGGCGGCCAACGGAGCCACGACGGCTCGGGCGAACAAACGGCTTGAGCCAAAATGGCTACGGACATGGCACTGGAAATAATGACGCCACCGCTGCAGCGGGAGCACGATTCGGAACGAGCGGAAGCGCGGAAATGAGGCCAGCGCTGCAGTGAGAGAACGATTCGGAGGACGCGGCGCCTGACATAGCATGGCGTGGCGACGCCCTAAGTGGGGGGGGGCTTCTGCGACCCAAAAAATGAACCAGTCAAACCGACTGTGTAATCACTTCCGATGGTTTTTCGGGGGGCATTTTCTAAATTTGGGATCCTTTTGGAATGATCGAAAACCATGCCGTGGCATGGCGCCGGAAATAATGACGCCACCGCTGCAGCGAGAGCACGATTCGGAACGAGCGGAAGCGCGGAAATGAGGCCAGCGCTGTAGCGGGAGCACGATTCGGAACGAGCGGTGGCCCGAAAATGAAGCCAACGCCTCAACGAGAACAGCATGTTGGAAAAAAAAACCCAAGCGAAAACCCGTTTCCCGGGAATCCTGTGTAAAACACCTATACGCGAAGGGGGCCGGCCATTTACCGGACGTCACCAGGGGAGAGAGGAGAGTAGTATTCATGTTGTGTAATTGTGGAGGCGGGTAGGAGGGAGGCTGGAGGCGGGATGAGGAGGAGGCGGGGCCCACACTGCTCTGGTCAAAACGAGAACCCAACCAAGGGATGGCTGGGAAATAAGAAACAAGCTGAAACAACGATAGCTCATTTGTATGGCTAAAGAAAAGAAACCTATGAATAATATGATTGGTGAACAAGAAAATGACAAAACCAAGAATATGAAGACGACGACGAATAACAAGAATACAACCCAGAATACGATGACAAACAATATATGCACTCCAACGGTAGGGCCCTACATGAGTAGATCCGTGGTGCACGCGTGCGTGACAATCGACGACTCACGATGGAGATGCTGCCAGGATGCTAGGACGCCAAGATGCCAGGAGGCCAGGATGTCATGATGCTAGGGATGCCAGGGTGTCAGGATGCCAGGCGGCCAGGATACCTGGATGACAGCATGGCAAGACCCCAGGATGCCAGGAATGCCAGGATGCCCAGGTGCCAGGGTGCCAGGATGCCAGCATCGCAAGATCCCAGGACGCGTGTGCAACCTGTGCGGCCTGTGGCACATGCTGGACCGTGGAACCTGTGGAACATTTGGGACCCGTGCGACCTGTGGGGCCTGTGGAAAAGGTGGAACGTGGGCGACCTGTGGGAGCTGTGGGACCAGTGCCACCTGTGGAGCACGTCGGACTTGTGAGTCCCGTGGGAAGTGTACGACCTGTGCTACCTGTGGGACCTCTGAGACCTGTGAGGCCCGTGGGACCTGTGCGACCTGTTGGGCGTGTGCGATTTGCGGGGCGTGCGGGCCCCGTGAGACTGTCAGAATTGTGGGGCCTGTACATGGATGCCCGGTGACGGCGGGATGCTAGGGATACCCGAGGTACCAGTGATGGCAGGATGCCAGGGATACCAGGATGCGAACGTAAAACCTAGACCAGGAGTTGAATTCTAGGAGCGCAAATAACCCGAGGTGGCTTACAGCTGGTCCTGGACATTCGAAATCAATCCCAGGAGTGCAGGTCTCGGAGTTTGAAGAGCCCAAAGTGGCCTATGGTTGACTCCAGACGTGCAAAATCAGCCCCAGGGAGAAATGTTGGGAGCACGAAGAAGGCGAAGTGGCCTACGGTTGGCCCGAGACACTGAAGATCAATCCCAGGAGTGGAGTTGTGGGAACTCGAAGAGCCCAAAATGACTTACTGTTGACTCCGCACGTGCAAATTCAGCCCCAGGAGTGGAGTTCTGGGAGGACAAAGAGCCCGAAGTGGCTTACAGTTCACAAGCCTGGGGGTGGAGTTCTGGGAGCTCGAAGAGCACGAAGTGGCCTGCAATTGGCTCTGGGCGCGTGACATCAGCACTGGGAACGGAGATTTGGTGAGCTCATGATCAAGCAACCATGTGCTTCAAGAGTTTGTTGTGTGGCCGCCTCGGATTACGAACATGAAGCGCGGGCCCCATAGGGAGGGGGCTCCCGCTCGAGACTTCCTCGCGGTTCACTCACCGATGAAGTTCCCGCTTGGGATTTCCTCACGATCAATGCGCGCGTGTGTGCGAGTGCGCGATGGTGATAATGATGATGGTGATGATGATGATGATGATGATGATGATGGTGATGGTGATGGTGATGGTGATGGTGATGGTGATGATCACGATGATGATACTGATGATGGTGATGATGATGATGGTAATGATGACGATGATGGTGCTCGTGATGATGATGCTGATGATGATGATTATACTGGTGGTAATGATGGTGATGATGATGATGATGGTGATGATGATGGTGATGATGGTGGAAGTGCTGATGGTGGTGATGATGATGGTGATGGTGATGATGATGGTGATGATGATTATGATGATGGTGCTGATTATGATGATCATGATGATGACGACGATGATGATGATGGTGCGGGTGGTGCGAATGATGAGTATGGTGATGATGATGGTGATGGTGATAGTGATGGTGATGGTGATGATGATGGTGATGGTGGTGATGATGACGACGACGATGACGATGACGATGACGCTAACGGTGATGTTGATGATGGTGATGATGGTGATGGAGATGATGCTGATGCTGCCGATGATGATGGTGATGATGGTGATGGTGGTGATGGTGACGATGATGATGATGATGATGATGATGATGTTGCTGGTACGAATGGCCGTGCTCGTGACGGGATGGTGATGGTGGTGACGATGGTGATGTTGATGACGATGATACTGATGGTGGTTCTAATGATGGTGGTCATGGTGTGTGAGTGTTCCTGGTTCTGCGCGGGGGGGCGTCCTGAGAAAATAAGAACCCCACTTAGGCTTCGGGAAATGATATTAACAAGGGAACGCAGAAGACGAAGAAGAAGATGGTAAGAAACGACTGCTTCACTGCACGAGGTCTTCGCCACATGAGCACAACTAGTGGGGTTGGTAATCGTGTAGATTGCCGGGGGGGGCAGAAAATTGCTACAATCCCCCCTTCTGGCGATCTACGATGGCTTCCAGGAGTCACAGCTGGCGCGCCGCAGCTAGATGGCCGTGCTCCTTGTGAGGATGTCCCCGCGTCAGCCTTTGCGCATCGTCATTCCCCTCCTCCCCCTCCGTGCCGCGCGAATCGGCCAGATTCATTCGCTCGCATGTCTTCTCTGCCTAACTTTTTGACGGGTCAAGAAAGAGGTGCTGATAAAGCTCGTGGCGTTCTCCTCAGCGCTAGAATGTTGCTCACGAGTGGACTGCCATGAGAAAACAGCCTCGGCTGTGGTAATTGCACAGCCACGTCGCACGTGACTGGAGCCTTAAGTATGTCAACTTCTTGCCGCTACGACGCTTGACAACTTGGAGTCCCGTGGGACACACACGATTATGTGTCTGCTCGGTGCACTGGGCTTGATCATGTGTATGTTCAGCGCTCTTGGCATTTGACTGACATGGCTCCTCGTCTGCGGCAATGATCTACCAAGGTGAGCAAGTGATGACAGCAGGCAAAAGCGTCGCATCACATACCTCGCTGAGCAACGCCAAACGCCGCTGCCACTTCTGGCCCGTGCTGAAGTTGGCTTCCAGTCTCGTCTCCCACACCCCGTGAAGCAGTGCCAAGTCCCTCTGCCACTGCTCGCATTCCTAACGCACGCCGAGCCCAGCGTTGCAGCCGACTGGGAAAAGCATCGTGTGCCACATCACTAGGCCTTAGCAGCTGTGCTCGACGACAGCACGCGCGCTGCCTTTTGCAGCACAAGCAGAATCAACAAACATGCCTTACCTGCACTGCACATGCAAATACGCGCATCCTCGATGAAATTCGGCATCCTCCTGTGCACGCAGTCCGACGTAGCCAGGCCCAGCAGATCAACGAACAACACGCATCCTGGTCGTAAGTTCAGAACCATCGGCGAGATCAAGATCCAATTTAATCGAAGGCAACTTTCTGAACGTGGCCAGCATGCGCTGAAATCGCCTGGCCCTCTCTTAGTGGCTGGTTCCAGAGTTGCAGCTCAAGAGAAGACGTCGGGCTTGAAAGTCTGCTCCCACATCTCGCTGATCAGCGACAGAGCCTGCTGCCACAGCCTGCGCTTCCTACACGCGCTGATACGAGCGCCATGGCTGACAGCACAAGGCCCCAATTTGCCTGCCAGACCTCGCTGGGCAACGCTAGCGCCTGCTGCCACCTGCCACTGCTCCCACTTCTCCCAAGCGCTGATCTCAGCGTTGCAGCTGATCGAATCACCCCGCTGCAACTACCTTGCCCACCTCCCTGAGCAGCGACAACACCAACTTCCACTGCCCGGCTTGTTCGCACATACTGGCTAGAGTTCCATAGACGGGGACATCAGGATCCAATTTTCTCCAGCGCATTTCCCTGAGAAGCGCAAGGGCCTTCTGCCACTGTTCGCCTTCCTTGCACGTTCTGATCCAAACGCTGTAGCTGATTTCGCTGGGCTCCATCTGTACCTCACACATACCGCTGAGCAGTGCCAACGCCAGATCCCCCCGCCCGCATTTTTCGCACGCGCTGCTCCCAGCGCTGTAGCTGATGAGGGCAAATCCATGAACGGCCGTCCAAGTAAGCATACTTACTTTCACACAGGAACGACAAGCGCAACACGCACAGCCGAATGCATTATCTGGGATGGACAAGCTCCATTACGCCACGGCACAGCGCATGCAGTGTAGCATGGCACGGAAACACGTATGACAGGCTCGAGCTGTTCGCGAAAGAACACGTTGGAAACAACACAACACGGCACACACACACACATACACAGAACGCACACACACACACACATTCACACACACACGACATACACAAACCATACGGAAGAACAAAACTGGTCGCGGCACGTCCCAGGTAGCGATTGCACATCTCCAGGGCAAGGGTACAGAAGCGAAGAGGAGGAAACGAGGAGCAGATGAGCGAAGAGAGAGAGAGAGTGGGGGCGAGGAGGGGTAGAAAAGC